ACACTTGCTTTTGATATACATATGTGTAAAGGTTAGATTAGGATATCAACTCGAATCTTTAACACACAGATTTATTAGCATTGTTTGAAATCTCCCAAAAATTTTAAACGAGGTAAATATACACTGCTGTCGAAAAGTTTCCGGACATATAACTTAAAATTGCATAATATTCAAGTCATCGTAACTCGGTAAAAAATCATCGCAGACGAAAAAATAAAAAAGCATTTTAAAGCTTAAAATTTATACTTTAGCATGCTTTTGACCGCTTTTCAAAAAAAAATTTGTCTTTACAGTTGTATATCTTAATAAATATCACGTTGTTGTATTTCTTAAAATTACGTACATTTAACATTGCTCAGTTTGATAAAAAGTTTTTTTTCAAAAAGTTCAATATTTTTGAAAAACAGTATAAAGATTTACCTCCGAAATACTTTTAAAAAAATTTTTTAATGATTTTTCTTGACTGAATTATGCATCATTGAAGCTAAAACCTGCATAGCTCACAACCAACATTACAATTCGGTGAAATACCATCGTAGAAGTATTTTAAAGCTTGAAGTTTGTACTTTAACAAGCTTCTGATCGTTTTTAAATTTAATTCTGCAGAATTGAGATCATGCCTTCGCCTTAAAGTTACTATGCATTCCTGCCTTAACGTCGGCCATCTTAACGATACTTTTGCCTGGCGCTAAGTTTGAACCTTTTGAAATAATTCGTTCAATTTCTTTGCCGAAATACAAGTATATTCTTTTACATTTAGTACACGGTTATCTATCCGCAACTTATTATTAACGATTTACATGTTAGTGTCTTAACCTTTAAGTATATTTAATCATATTTTGTTAATTATTAACATAGAATAAATTCTGATCGGTAAGTTTTCATATTTATATAGTTAACCGATTAGTAATTTTACTTTAGAGTTTCATGACTTGTTTATTACATCGTATTTTATAAAGAAAGTATTACATATATTTTATTATACATGAAGTCTATTTCTTATCTTATACAATATTTATGTTCTCGACAATTATTTTTATTTTTAAACTCTATAGACTGAGTACAACACATTTATATCAAAACGCATACAATGTTTATGTATCTTATTATTACTTAGGCTTAACATAAGTTATAAAATTCTATATTAACTTTACAAGAATAGTATATGTTCCATTAAATGTTCCCTTCAGCAATATTATGTATATATATATATATATATATATATAT